TAAAAAATAAGGCATCGTTTAAAAAAAATTAAATACAATTTTTATAAAAAAATTTAACTATAATAATATTAAAATTAAAAATTAAAATCTGTAAAATAAACGTACCTACGTAAATAATCGAAAACCAAAAACATCATAATATCATCGTTGTGTTGTCCACTTTCCATCCCCCACCAAATACAAATAAATAAACACCCTTCAATCCACCTTTTTTAAGTCCCCAAACTCCCAAATAAAAATCCAAAAACAAACAAAGAAAAGGAGAGAGAGAGAGAGAAGGGGAAATTACCCTTCCTGACGTTATTAGCAGAAAAAACGAGGGCAAGAGAGTAATTTGACAAGCCCACATCTTCTTCCTAAATCCAATCCTTCTCATTCCCAGCTCACTCACTTCTCAGTCCCAGAGCACTGTTTACTAAACACAGAGACTCCAAAGAATTTTAACTTCAAAACCCACACTCTCTCTCCTCTCTTTCTCTCTCTAAGTCTGCAATGGAAGAACCGCCATTGCTGCTTACTTCCCTACTCCTCCTGCTCCTCATCTTCTCCTCCACCTCCTTCTCAGCTTCTCCACCAGCTCCATCCCCGACTTCCTCTCATTCCCCAGTCCCACCGAAAAATTCTTCTTCTTCCCCGCTCTCGCCATCTGCTTCACCTTCACCTTCTTCTCCTTCTCCGTCGTCGTCGTCGTCGTCGACTCTGGACCCGAAGCAGCTCACGGCTCTGCAATCCCTCAACATTCCGACCTCCAGAGACCCCTGCACGCAGCCCTCCTTGGTCCGCAACAACATCACGCTCTGCGACAACTCCAAGCCCTTCCGACACCTCCTCGCCCTCAAGCTCGCCAACTGCTCCGACGACGTCGCTCTGTCCTTCACCGCCCTCAAGTCCCTCTCCACCCTTCAGTCCCTCCAGTTCCTTAAGTGCCCCATCGCTCCCATTCGCTTCCCCGCCGATCTCGCCGCCAATCTCCGATCCTTCACCGCCGTCGCCAGCCTCCGCCGCCTCACCGGCGTCTGGCTCGCCCGCCTCCAGAACCTCACCGATCTCACCGTCTCCAACGTACAGGTCAATGCCAGCGGCCCCTTCGTCATCCTCGGCAACATGAAAAAGCTCAGGTCCGTCACGATCTCTTACGCCAATCTCTCCGGGAGCTTCCCCAGGCACATGAGCCCTAATCTCACGTACGTCGATTTCTCCGGGAATCGCCTCAGAGGAAGGATTCCGAGCTCGATTAACCGCCTCGAGAATATCCAGACCTTGAATCTCTCCGGCAACGCGCTGACCGGCGAGATTCCGTCCACGATCGGCGACCTAATTTCACTCCGGAACGTCTCGCTCGCTTCGAATTCGCTCTCCGGACCGGTTCCGGAGTCGTTCTCGGCGATACCTCATCTGGTCCACATCGATCTGAGCTCAAACCAGCTGAACGGGACGATCCCGAGGTACTTCACCGGCATGAAGACGCTCAAGTACCTGAACCTCGCGAACAACAATTTCCGCGGAGTAATGCCGTTCAACGCCTCGTTCATCAGCAGATTGGCCGTCTTCAAGGTCGGCGGCAACGATTTCCTCTGCTACAACCGATCGAATCTCTCGTCGAAGATGAAGCTTGGGATTGCTCCGTGCGACAAGCACGGGTTTCCGATGTCGCCGCCTCCGGCGAGGGACTCTTCGGAGGACGATAGCAACGATTCCGACTACGACGACACCGACACGGAGGAATCCAACCACAAGGATCACCACCACGGCCCAAACAAGGTTGTTCTCGGTGTCGCCATTGGCTTATCTTCAATTGTTTTCCTCATTATTTTCTTGGTTCTTCTTTCCAAATGCTGTCGCTGAAAGTAAGTTAAAATTCAATTATTTCTCGCTTTTTTCCTCGGCTTATAATTTTTAGATTAGAGGGAAAAAAATTTGGGTTACGGAAGATTATTCTTATTCTTTTAATTAATTTTCTTTCAATTTTATTTATTACAAAGTGAAGAGAAATCACTTAAATCGGTGTGTGTAACTTTTTTTTTTCACTGCTTATTTATCTTTTACTGGAGCAAGAAGCGGCGGAATTTCCAATTTTAATAAAACCGTGTCATTTGCTGTGTAATTATTAGCAATAGAGGGAAAATGGCTTTGATTTATTACCCTTACATGTGATTTAATTTTGAGGTGCAAGCATTTATTTTCTCGTATTAATTGTCTCTATCATACTATTTTGTTTCTTTCAAGTTATCTTATCAAACTATATACTGCTTTCTTAAGCCCACTTTTTTTGTGTGAATGTTTGTCCATTGTCCAATAAAATCCAAAAATCAGAAGAGTAGACATGGTTTACTATTCAATATATTACATTGTAAGATTTTCCCTTTTCCATGATTCATGAACTTCCCTATAAGCTTTATTTTGCTCCCATTTGGGAAATGCCAATTACATTTGGTACACTTGTACATCATCTGTGAAACTGGGCTGAAATGGTAAACCATGAAGTTTCTTTCAAAATATTTTGTACCTGCCGTTTGTATTTTGCTGGCCATTCTTTACATCCATGTACAGCTGTATTTGGTTCATGTGATTATAGTGTTATTTTTGATAGTTTAGAACTCACTTTTACTAGTTAGGGTGTGTGTGTGTGTGTGTGGTTTTTTTTTTTCTCCATATCTGTCCTTATTTTTCAAAAATATAGATATGCCAAGTTGTTAAATTTCATGATGTGATGTATAATGCATGTTTCTTGGTGGGCACACACATTGAAAATACATTATATTCATAATTATGTACTTGAGAGAAAAGGGCAGAACCAGTTGGCGATGATTGATGATTTGTAAGTGGAGAAAGAATTATGATAAATGATTAGATTTGTGATCCTACCATATGGTCCAAGAGGGCTCAAAACCGAGTTGTCTATAATCCTCTTGGATTAGAAACGTGAATGAAGTGCCAAGTTTTTTGGAATTTGGAAGTAGAATAATAAAGCCAATGAACTAATGAAATATGAACACTCTCTCTACCAGTTAGTTTTTGTTTACTTTTGACTTGATCTTGTCACTTTGCGTGTTTGGTGAGATATGTTTCCATGTGTTTGGTGAGATATATTTCCATGGCTTTTGGTGTCAATACCAATTTTTGTTCTAACAGTTTTCTTCATATTCCGGGTCTATGAATATTCCTAAATAAAAAGCACTAACGACCTTTGACTAGACATTTGTTTATGAAACATGTTTAGGGTTTATATGGCTTTCTTTATTCTCAACTTCAAGGTCTTGGTTCTTTGACAACGAAGAATTTGGAAGACATTTGTAACCTGAGAATCTATACCATAATTTTGTGACAACAAAAGATATTGGATTCTATTCCACTAGTATATTTTTATTTCCCGCCTTCAAGGTTGATTATTTATCACTAGAGGATCTCATGCCCCGACAATTCAGTTGAAAAAAAAAATAATAATAATAATAATAATTGTTGAAAGATAACGAAAAAGGTCAACCCTTCAGGCTGACTAGTGAGTAGTGACACTGATCTTAAGCTACAAAAAATATCTTCGTGGGGGAAGGCAAACCTGAAACATGGTACCATATGTACAACCAATACCTAGCTGGCTACAATGGAAAATGTTGCAAGTTGTAAATCAGAGATTCATAACTGAGTAAGACTATTTACATGCTTGCTAGATTTCAGCCTTTAGATGTGACTTGAAAACGATCACATTCATTGAAATTTTTGTCATTTATTAGGAAAATAAAAAATAAGAAAAAAAAATAACAGCGTAGATCGTCGCTTTCATCATCCCTTGATTGAAAAAATAAATAGTATCTTGGGATGTACAATAATTCCCCATCGTAATGAGTTCAACCATTTTGCCAATAGATTGTCAACTTCGCAGGCTTGATCGGTTGATCCTTGGAGAGAAAGAACCTGCCACAAGCTCGTACAGTTGATTGACATGTGTCCACGTTACATGTCAGACAAATTAAAAGAGAAGCAAAAGTTGTAATTGATTTGAAAAATAAAAAATATCTTTTATTTTACCGATTTAAATTTTTAATTTTAATTTTATTATAATTAAAAATTTTTATAAAAAGTTAAATTTATTTTATTTTATTATAATAAAAAATTCTCATATAAAATCACATTTTAACTTAAATTAAAATTTTAAATTAATAAATTAAAAGAGTAGTCTCGTTCACTTCGCGAATTCGAGTTTTCAATTCGAACTGAGATGTGACATTTTTTGAGAGTTTTTCACTGTAGCAGAAAAAGATATATGTGATATTTTTTAAGAACTTTTTACTGTAAAAATTTAAAACTGAAAACTCAAATTGGTGAAATGAACAAATCCTAAAACTATCCGTGCCTTAGAAGTTAGAAACTACAAAGTATAACCATTTAAGCAGATCAGCTAAAAGGCTGTTCATAGAAGGAGACAGTACATGAAAAGGCCTCATGTAAAAAGGAATAAAGAAAGAGTACTTCTTTAGCCAAGAAAAAAAAAGAACTTGGTTTACATATAATTAATCTAGATGGTGGTAATGATTGCCATCCCTCTCTGCTTATGTGTGAGCTGGACATGTTCTATACCTTGGAAATTAATGCTCTAACAGGAATACAACAAAGTGTACAATTATACAAGAGAAAAATAGTCTTACAGAAATGTTTATTTTTTCAGTTTTTGTTTATTTTTTAAGTTGTAACACTTTTAACCTTCCTAAAGTTAATCTGAAGTTAGCCTAGATGTCCAGAGTCTTTTCAATTCAAACCTAAAGGCTTTTATGTAGACATGAAACGTGATTAAAACCAACTTAGTGGATCTCCTTGAGCTCAAAACTGTACCATGTGCATACAAAATGGCCCCAAGTTGCTATATTATCAAATGCAAGAAATGGGCCATTTATCATATCTGTCTGTGGTACTGTTCCTGCAATAAAAGCAGTTCCATGAGGTTTTTATTAGAAAGGAGAAAAACGAAGATGATCTACACACAGTGTGGGAACTAACGAAAATAAAAGGAAATGAGAATTTTAATAAATACCTAATAATAGCTTCTAACAGTTGCTAGAAAGATCTGTCAGTTGACTGTTGACAAGTACCCGAAGATTCTTCACAAAATGAACTACAAATTCGATCTTTCATATTACCAGAAACCTCTGCACGAACAATGGCCGTCCTTAAAATGGTGAAAGCGGTTTGAATCTCTCAAGACAATTTCCCTGCTCGACATTTTGGAAATGAACTTGGCCGTCTCGTGACAGTCACCGCAAACTCTAAGATTCTTGGTGACCCTTATGGTTTTCCCAGGTGGCAAGCTCAGCATTCCAAAGGCCATAGCTAACTTCTCACTGTGCCCACAGAGAGCCACCTCCTTCTCCATCTCATCTGCGTTGATCAAAGCATACTTCATGTTGGGATAGAAACCTTCTTCCTTCATTTTTGCTCTTAACCTCTTCAGTAGCGACTCAATCTTTTTTGCTAATGGTTGTGAATCATCTCCTGCAACAAAGATATTAACTTTGCCCTTGATCTCTATCCAGCTACAGCCTGGATTCTTCTTCAAACCTCGCCGACCAATCTTCTCCCTTAACTTTCTCACTTCTTCCCACTTTTCTGCCTCTGCATATATATTGGCAAGAAGAACATAATAGCCCGTGTTATCAGGCTCTAGTTCAAAAACATGTTCAGCAACTCTCTCTGCTAGTTTTACGTCATGGTAGGTCCTGCAACCGCATAGCAATGCACCCCAGATCGTGGCATCTGGTTCAATTGGCATCTTTCTAATGAACCTATAAGCCTTCGATAGATTCCCAGTTCGGGAAAGGAGATCAACCATACATGCATAGTGCTCCAACATGGGCTCAATGCTGTACTCATTTCTCATAACATTGAAGAAACTCCATCCTTCATCTAGTCCAGAATGACTGCAAGCATAAAGGATCGAAATGAAGGAAACTTCATCAGGTTCAATTCCGGCGTGTCTCATCTCATCAAAGGCAGCAATAGCTTCACGTCCAAATCCATGCATCCCATATCCAGCAATCATAACCGTCCATGAGATCAGGTCCTTTACAGGAATCATATCAAAAAGTACTTGTGCAAGAGCTAATAGCCCGCACTTCACATACATGTCAACAAGTGCGTTGGCAACATGTCGATCTTGAAAGTAGCCATTTCTTAAAACATGACCATGGATTTCCCTGCCCTTGGCTAAGGCTGCTAAGCTAGCACACGCTGGAAGGATACAAGCCGCTGTTATACTGTCGGCTTTTGACTTTCCTTGCATCTCAGCAAACAATTTAAGAGCTTCATTGGGAAGACGGTTTTTGGAGTAACCACCAATCATCGTATTCCATGAGATGATGTCCTTTGCAGGCATACGAGAGAAAACCAAATTAGCATCGTCCATGCTCCCACATTTGGAATACATATCCATCAAAGCATTACAGACGAATAAATTTGATTCCATGCCACTTTCTCGAATGTAATTGTGGACATCTTTTCCATCTTCTAGTGAGCCACTGCAAGCACAAGCGTGAAGTATGCTGGTTATGGTAAAGATATCTGGGCTAACCCCATTTCTTTCCATTTCATAGAACAGTCTGATTGCCTCATTAGAACGACCTTCTCTTGCATAACCTGCTATCATTGAAGTCCATGACACTACACTTCTTTCTCCCGTCTTTTCGAAAACTTGAACTGCTGCATCCAACTCTCCACATTTCGAATACATGTCTAGTAAAGTATTGCGAAACATGATTTCCCCATCAAAACAAGCTTTTATTGCATAAGCATGAACAGCTCTTCCCAAAAGATGAGTTCCAATATTTGCACAGGCCACAAGAGCATTCACTATTGTCGCCAAGTCCACATTAACTCCCAAACTTAGCATCTTTCCGAAAATCCCAACTCCCTTTTCCCCAAGACCATTAGATGAATACCCGCTTATCATTGAATTCCATGATATAACATCTCGGTCAGTCAATTCATCAAACACCTTTTGTGCACTTTCCACCCTTCCACTTTTGAAATAAAAAGCCACTAGAGAATTCAGGACCGTATTGTAACAACCAAAACCCAATTTATACAAATACGCATGAATTCTTTCACCTTCTTTTAGATTCCCTAACGCCCCAAAACACTTCAAAACACAAGACAAAGTATGAGAATTAGCTTGGATACCCAACTCTTGCATCTTCTTAAACAAGCTTACACTTTCCCTAAAATTACGAATCTTTGCATATTCATTTATCACAAGATTCCAGACAAAAACCCTGTCAGTGTAAATGTTATCAAAAATACGTCTAGCTTCCCTCAAATCTCCACAATTCACATACATGAAAACTAGTTTTTCACCCAAATATCCATCAACTTCTACGCCACTATCACGAATAACAGAGTGAACCCTTTTACCATCTCGTAGAGATTTACGTTGAGCACAGAGCTCCAAGACGGAGCAATAAGTCCTCGACTCGAGCTCGGACTTTTCGGACCCGCAAAGCAATTCCATGGCGTTTTTCAAATTACCCATCTCGCAGAAATAGCTAATTTCGCCATTGTTGTTATCGGCTATCCCTCTAGTGGTCGTCTGAGTCTTGGCAAGTGAAGCCGAGGCCTGGATTAGAGCGAAAGAAGAACTTGAATTAGAAGATAAAACGTTGGTTCTTGGAGAGGGTTGAAAGAAAATAGAACAATCATTAGAGGTTTTCGCAAAGTCTCTTTTATAATCATAGAAATTCGGTGAGACCCAGAATAAGGTTGGCGAGGATTTAGCCATGGTCAACATGGCTCAATCTCTCTCTCTCTTTCTCTCTGTGTAACCAAACAAGAGCGCGGGAACGTTGTCAATCAACTGAAAGGGAGGGAAGTAATAAACTATTGATTTAGAGACGTTTAATTCATGAATTATAATCACGTGATTAAAATTATTTTCGATTTACGTATTTTTTTTAGAGAAAATACTGTAGTGAATTATGAACCATGATTCAAATCATGGTTTGAATTCTCCAACTAAACATTAATAAAAAAAAAGAAAAAAAAAGTGAAGGGAATATTCTCTTAATTTTAATTCTGTAAATTAAAAAAAATTGAGTGTTACAATTCAATACTTCACTAATTATTATTTTTTTTTTCGGCTATCCCTCTAGTGGTCGTCTGAGTCTTGGCAAGTGAAGCCGAGGCCTGGATTAGAGCGAAAGAAGAACTTGAATTAGAAGATAAAACGTTGGTTCTTGGAGAGGGTTGAAAGAAAATAGAACAATCATTAGAGGTTTTCGCAAAGTCTCTTTTATAATCATAGAAATTCGGTGAGACCCAGAATAAGGTTGGCGAGGATTTAGCCATGGTCAACATGGCTCAATCTCTCTCTCTCTTTCTCTCTGTGTAACCAAACAAGAGCGCGGGAACGTTGTCAATCAACTGAAAGGGAGGGAAGTAATAAACTATTGATTTAGAGACGTTTAATTCATGAATTATAATCACGTGATTAAAATTATTTTCGATTTACATATTTTTTTTAGAGAAAATACTGTAGTGAATTATGAACCATGATTCAAATCATGGTTTGAATTCTCCAACTAAACATTGTAAATTAAAAAAAATTGAGTGTTACAATTCAATACTTCACTAATTATTATTTTTTTTTTGAATAGGCAAGTTGCATTTCAAATTAAAGAAATACGCGCATCAATACAGACTACGGTATATAAGGACACTTAACCCTAACGAGTAACTAAGAATTTATTTGGTATTAGGATTCAAATTAAGGTGATTCTAATCATGATTCTGAAAACAGAATCATAATTTATGATTTTAGGTTCAAATCATAATTCTGAAACCATGATTAAGAATTTATTTGGTATTAGGATTCAAATTAAGGTGATTCTAATCATGATTCTGAAAATAGAATCATAATTTATGATTTTAGGTTCAAATCATAATTCTGAAACCATGATTCAGAATCAGAGATTTGAATCACCTTGAATCAAGAGGATGGTGGTTTTACAATCATGATTTGAGCTAGTTTAAAATATCACATCAGATTATAAATCAAGATTCATAATCATCTAAACCAAACACTGATTCTGAATCATGATTCAAAATTACTATAAATAAACACTGATTCTAAATCAAAATCTAAAATCATGATTTTGAATATATTTACCAAGCGTACCCTAAAATATCAAACATTCAATTGACTCTTTAAAACAAACCTCAACAATTAATGAAAAACTCCAATTGATCGTGAAAAAAAAACCTACAATATTGAAGCCATGACAAACACCACAAAAGAATAACTCTTGCGGAAAAATCATACAAAAATAAACTGTATAACGTCAAAACAATGGAGATCCCGTCGCGTTTATTGAACAAAACCAAATCAAACAAAAAAAAAAGCGCAAATATCACCACGATATGAAGAAGACAAACAAGACCACCATCAAATGACCTCCTCCTTTCGACGAACTAGCCCTATTCTCTAATCACCGACTTCTGGCAGTTGTGATCTCAGCCTATAAAAACTGAGAATCGCAGACTACGAACCGCCTCACGTAGTCGATCGTTCTCCGCAAGTACTCAAACAATATTTCAATTAAAATCATTCCAGACTTGACTTACAAGTTAAGGGATGAATCAGGGGTGTCAAAATTTAAATATTGAAAAGCAAAAGGTCAAATCTTCAAATAAGTAAAATATGAGGTTGTTTTTGTAATTACACCAAAAAGTGGTGAGTGGTGTATACATATATGTCAGGCTGAGAGGGTGTTCGGATGACTTGGACGAATCTGAACCACTTGCATAGTTGCATATTACAAATCTAATGCTTTTATAGGAAACTTGTTTTGCGTACTTGGGATCACAAACTATACAGCAAACAAATAAATAAATAAAAATATTATGGGTGTAGTTGTTGTACAGACAATTTCTGTTCTTCGCTTTCCCAGTTTCTCCTCTATCACTCAGCAGCCCAAGCTAGGAAAGGCCATTTTCTGTCCGATAGGTACGTGCATTTCTTCAACTCAAAATTCTTGCTTTACTTTCAAAATAGGTCTCGTTCACTTCGCTGATTCGAGTTTAAAATTTAAATTGAGATGTGATTTTATCTGAGAGCTTTTTACTGTAATAAAAAAATTAGATGTGATTGTTTGTGAGAACTTTTTACTGTAGAAAAACTCAAATTCTAAACTCGAATCAACGAAGTGAACGAAGCCGATATGCTTTATCACTTCCATGAAAGCCCTCTTCCCTGAATATTTTTACGTTTGCTTTATTCTAGTTAAAGCAGTTTTCTTATCGGCATGAATTTCAGCTGTAAAAATGCCAGAACCTCTTTTTTTTTTTTTTTTTTTTTTGATAAATAGTCCAGAGCCATTTTACTTCTGCTCAAATAATGTGATTAAGGTTTCTTCTAGTTCTAACAATACCTTATGTTTTTTTTGCTTTTTTTTTTTTTAATTTTAGACCATGTTAAACATCATGCTTGTTCCAAGTGGGTTCTGATATTTATTTGACTGGAATTTGTTACATTTATCTTGTTTCTAGATTCACAGTTGATCCACCAAACTAGCGGATAAGGTTAAACACCCCCATAACCATTTCATAGGTTTGCTTTGAAATGAAGTCTAAGGTTGCATTTGTAATGATGTTACAACAAAATTTGGTAGCATAAGCAAGCCTATGCTTTATACATATTTGAACTTCTTTTACGTAAGAAAGTATAACCTCATCACAAAATTAGAATTCTACCATTCCCTTTGTGATTACCTTGTTCTGATTGATATTTCTATGCTTGGCCTCAAGAAAGAACCTTGTTGCTAGCCCTTAAACTTTGTTAACTATAGACCGGGGTCATTTTTATGCAGCTTCTTAAATTTGGCTGAGATTGCAGATGTGCTCTCGCCCTTCGAGCGAAAGGACCTTCGGTTAACCGTTTCATGCATAGGATCCGACGGGGATAGAACAGGACGGCGACCTCCACGGAAAAGCACTACCTCAGGGAGGAAAACAAATAGGGAAGCTAATAAAGCATCACCTGTAGGTAAAAAACCCAACTCAGCTAACCAGGAGGAGATTATTGCTCTGTTCAGACGAATACAATCTTCAATCTCAAAAGAAAAGTCTGTAAATGACAAGAAGATAAACGCCGATGCTTCTGAAGAGAAATCCTCTGTCGAATCGATTCTTAAAGTTCTCCGCAGATCAGGGAAGCAAGGTGGGGCAGAAAATCATATGAATTTCATGTTCAATCTCATGTCTTGCAGGCACAATTCTATCACATTCACACCGTAGCTATACACTACTTTTGTGCAAGGAAACATGAAGTTGTCTGAAGCTTCATATTCTCTCAGAAATCAAATTGGTTGTTAGATGTATAAGAATCCCTTCTTTACTTGAGCCCTGTATTCTTATTAACAAGGTTTTCTAATTTCGGCAGGAAAAGCTAAAATCGAGGAAGGGAAGAAGATATCAATGAGGAAAAGAGTTGTGCCTAAGAAAGATCAAGAACTAGAGGGTAGTACACCGGCAGTTACAGGCTCAAAGTTAAGTCGTCGGCCGCCGTCGAATTTTGTTAAGAGGTCCCCTATCCCATCTCCAACGATCCCAAGAAGTATATCTCTTGAGCTGAACAGTAAACAATCAACTGCAGCAGAAGAAGAGGGGCTACATCTGCCAAAAGTAGAGGAGATGAAACTTGCTGAACTGAAAGAATTAGCAAAATCTAGAGGAATTAAAGGTTACTCAAGACTGAAGAAGAGCGAGCTTTTGAGTTTGCTGAGGACTTGAGTAAATGAAACATCTTACTCTGTCAATAAAACAAACGCCCAAGAAACGAGGCCCGTCAGATATTGGGTTCACAATCGTTTTATTCACCTTTTCTTTTTTTTTCTTTTTTTTTCTTTTTTTGTTATCTGTTGGCTCATTTTGTTCATTTTTTTGAATCTTTATAAGCCTTTCTAATTTCTGTTTAAATTCTGAATCAAAAGATAGTTTGGCCGCTATTCATCTCCCTACTAACCACTTTTTTCTTTCTTTTTTTTTTTTCTTTTTTTTCCAAATTTTAGATTTCCTTCTCTCCCTTTCTCTGTTTGACTGTTTATTTATCTCGAATTACAACTTAAATGTAGTAATCTGTTTGACTGTTTATTTATCTCGAATTACAACTTAAATTTTTACTACAGTATTTTTTTTCATAAAAATTTAAATTTAATTTTTTCTGTTATAATATTTTCTTTTATATAAATTAATTTTTTAACTAAAGTTTTTAATGGACAAAACAAATAGAATTTGATGCCATCTGGACTGAAGTCAAAGGCTCAAAAGGTTAGAGTTAATTTGTTAACCAGTTATGAGGGACAAAATTCGTTTAATTTGCTGATTTAAATTTTTAATTCGAGTTACGAGGTGATTTTATGTGAATTTTTTACTGTAGTAAAAAAATTAAATATAACTACTTTTAAGAATTTTTTACTGTAACAAAACTCGAATTCTAAATTCAAATTGGTGAAATGAACAGAACCTAATAATTAAGCAAAAAAAAAAAAAACTGTACGACCTAGTAAAGCTTCAAGTTAAAATAAAGAAGGAAAAATTGAATCAAAATACTGCTCTCAATTCAGGAGATCATCAACGATCATGACACGAAACAAAACTCTAGTTCATTTCACCGATTCAAATTTTCAATTTCTACAGTTAAAAACTCTCAGAAAATATCATATCTAACTTTTTCTGTTAACATTAAAAAGTCTCATAAAATGTCACCTCTCAACTTGAATTGAAAACTCGAATCTGCAATGCGAATGATGCGAAAATAGATCGTTTGAAGCTTAAAATTTTCATAGATTCTTTGGGGGGGAAAAAAAGAAAAAGAAAAAACATAACCCTGAAACGCTGAAAAGGGGAAGGGGTCACAAAAACTAGAACAAAACTATCTAAAATTGTAGAGGATCTATCTTAAGCTCCAATATTCTGCGACTTGTTCAGAATTACTCCTGCATACTTGACCTGGAACCACTTCATTGCGTCCTCCTTTGTAACCGTGTGTTGAATCCCAACACGCGACTTGCATCGGCGACGGCGACCCACACGGTAGCCTGGGCGTTCTAGAACTACATAGAAGTCCATTCCATAGACACCGGTTGAAGGGTCGTACCTGACACAAAGCAGTCAACAGAACACATCAGTTGATTGAGTTCTATTGTCAACATCTAACAGCTACTTCATATCCTATACCATGAATTAAAGTACTACGTAAAATATATGTGTCCTATTCCATGTTAAAAGCATAATAAACTTATTAACCAACTGGGTTGTCCTGGAAATAAGACACCAAAATTTGGCACAATAAAAACTTGAATTTTACATTTTTCCAGGTCTATAATCTCAAGAAAATATACTTTTCTATATTCACTTATTAGGACCAAGTTCACGCCACAATCCTCAATTATTCAATGCATTCAAAAGCAAAACAATTAAACTAGAGTACTTTCCTTGCCAGCGTTCAAACCTTCATCCCCAAATACATTTTAAGTAAATTCCAATCAAGAATAAGCATTATAACCAACAAAGCTAATTGTTTAAGTACAATTGGGATTTAAATCTCTCTGTCAAAAAAAAAAAAGAACTTACTTGATTCCGAGATCAATGTGCTCCTGAATACCGAATCCGAAGCAACCGGTGTCACTGAAATTTCTTCTCAAGAGCTCGTACTCCTTCACCTTCAAGCCGCTCTCGAGAAGTTGCATCGCCTTTTCGCCTCACGTAGCAGGCGATCTTCTCGTTACGCCTGATCCCGAACGAACGAACCGGCTACGTGATCTTCTCGTTACGCCTGATCCCGAACGAACGAACCGTGTACCGAGCCTTCGAGAACACCGCACTTTGGCCGCTCAGTTGCTCCAAAACCTAGATCGCAAAATCATCAAAAAGAAGAAAAGGTGTCAGTTCTAATGCGTTCGACAATCGAAAAAATCCACTTTTTCTCAAGAAACAAACAGCGAAAGACTTTGGCAGCTCTGGTGAGACGATCGCCGCTTTCGCCGACGGAGATGTTGAGAACGAGCTTCTGGACTCTGATGTCCCTCATGGGGCTCGCCAGCTTCTTCTCCGAAGCCTTAATTCCATTTTTTTTTTTTTGGCACAAAATCAGAGCTCAGCCAAATCGATAATTGAAATTTGATATCAACAAAAACAAGGAAAAAAGAAGATAAATGATCAGAAATCAAGCAAAGAAGGAGAGAGAAATCAATACCATTGTTCTAATGCGTTCGACAATCGAAAAATCCACTTTTTCTCAAGAAACAAACAGCGAAAGACTTTGGCAGCTCTGGTGAGACGATCGCCGCTTTCGCCGACGGAGATGTTGAGAACGAACTTCTGGACTTTGATGTCCCTCATGGGGCTCGCCAGCTTCTTCTCCGAAGCCTGAATTCCATTTTTTTTTTTTTTTTGCACAAAATCAGAGCTCAGCCAAATCGATAATTGAAATTTGATATCAACAAAAACAAGGAAAAAAGAAGATAAATTATCAGAAATTAAGCAAAGAAGGAGAGAGAAATCAAAACCGTTGTTCTTCGTTGTGAGGAATGGAGAGCAGGGGAAGAGAATCAGAGAGAATAGAGAACCCTAAAACTGATAATAGTACCAAAATAGTGGTACCTAGGGTTTTACGAGACGAGTTTTGTGACGTGACGATATTGCCCCTGATGGCTGATTATGATTAATATACTTCCGAAAAGTGTTTACACATAAAAATAAAAAAAAGTTTCCGTTGCCGGGACTCGAACCCGGGTCTTTCGGGTGAGAGCCGAATATCCTAACCATCTAGACTACAACGGATTCTTGCTGACCATGAACATTATTATTTATTAAAATAAATAAAAATAAAAAATTTTCTTTACTTGTGCGCACATCTTGGGGGAAAAAGGGTAATTAGTTTATTTTTATTTTAAAATACTTAAGTCCTTGGTGATCCTTTCAAAATGAAAGAAATTAAGATGCTAGTTAATAGTTATCTTAAACACCTCACACTCACATGCTCGTTATTATAGGAAAAATTGTAGTAAACAGTATATTTATAAATTAAATTACGATTAGAAAAAAAAAAGTTATGTAATAAAAATTTTTTTTATGTGAAAAAAATATTTTTATTAATTGTAAATAAAATATTTAAATGGTAAATTGTTATTTATTTCAAATAGTATTAAAATATAATATTTCTTCAATTACTTACTATAAATCTCCTACTCACTTCATTCTCTTTTATTATAATTTGTTTGGTTCAAAATATGAATTCAGATTTCATAGACATAGACATAGTTCCTGCTTTAAAATAATCTAATTGGATAGATTCTCCTTTTCCGATTTAAAACAAATAATAAGGGAATAAGGGAATAAGGAAGGAAGAAGAGTAAGAGGAGAAACACCACACACTATGGATACTCTTACCCAGAAATTCACTCAGTCTTTAGAACCAGCTAGATTATTCTCGTCCATTACTATTCCTAATTCTTGTAAAAGATCCCTTTCTTCTAAAATAGAAAACCTAGTAGAATACTCCTATATCCCTAAAACAACTATAGTAGAAGAGTATGTCCCTCCTCTGTTAAGTTCGTACAATATTTTCAAAAGACACCGACGTACTATTAGACAGTTCATCTCTAATACCAGACACACTGTTAAAGAATATGTCCAGTCCTCTAGGCTTGATAAGTGTCTTGTCCCCAGTACCTCTCAAGAACAGTATATTGATCTTGAGATCCCAAAAGAACTTATCACTCAAGGTGCGTTTGGTTACAGTGGGGGAATGGTAATGGGAATGAGAATGAGAATGGTAATGGGAATTGAATGAAAAAGAAAGTTGATTCATTTGTCTGATTGTAATTTTAAGAATTCTCTAGAATGGAATATGAATATTTTCATGTCGACAAACTTACCCTTATAATATATATAACACTAATATTTTATCTATCAATATAATATATAAAATGTAATATAATATAATAAAATTATTATTATATAATATACTATATAATTATGATATATAATATAACAATATTTTTAAAATTGTTAATATAATTATAATATTATAATATATAAAATGTTATACAATATAATAAAACTATCATTATAAAATATATTATATAATTATGATATATAATATAATAATATATATAATTATTATTATATTATGTACAATAAATATATTATAATTATAATGCACTATAATGAATAATAATATTAGAATTATTAGTATAATTATGGTATTATTTGTTAAAATATTACAACTATATTATATTATATCATATTATATATATTATATTGTGATATTATTATATATTATATTATAAGATATAATTACATTACAATATATTATATATTATTATAGAATATTAAATAAATATATTATAATTTATAACTATATTATAAATTAATTATTATATTATTATAACATTATTATATTATAATATTTTTTATTATATATTATATTATATTATATTTCAAGATATAATTACTATATAATATGTTTTAATTATATTATAATATTGAAGGGTAATTATGAAAAAAAATAAAAAAGAACTTAGAATGGCCATTTCTCCCATATGAGGAAAGAATGATGATTCACCTAAAATGGGTGAATGGCCATTCCTTTTGAATGATCATTCATTTCTTATAAATCAAACCAAACATCAAACTAGAATTCCTTTGCATTATATTCCATTCCTTTCCACCCAACCAAACACACCCTCAATGGCTTGCTAAAGGCCATACACACCTCCACTTTAGGGGAATAAGACTTGTCCTAACCCTTCATGGCAAAAAAGGTTTACCTGTTACTGTTCGTCTGGCACTTCTGGATACCAGATACACTAGATACAAACATGTAGTAATAGGAACTACACTTTCCACACTTCATGCTGGTAGTGTCCTATTAACTTTTTTCCTAAATTTCAACATTCCACTGAAGACGCCACAAACGAGTATCGAAATCCATTTGATAAGTCGAGTTTGAAAGCCACAAG